CGGGGGGGATGGCCACGCTGCAATCCCTTTTCCTCCATTCTCCTCTCGGGATCTTGGGCATGCATGCACACGTGCCTGGCATGAGTTTAAGCCACCGGGTCCAGGACATGAACTGTGGTTGGCTACATGGGAGTCCAGCAACATAGCCATTACGCTAACTGCTGGTCCCGGGAAATAATAAACTTCTAAGTACAGATCTTCATTTGACAAAAATGAGGCCATTCTTACAGCCTGGTAATGCAACTAGCCTCACATGGGAAGAGTCCTGGGTTCACATCCCGGGACCTGCTTGAGCACTCCAGATGCACAGACATTCCTGTGACATGGGCCAGGTGAGACTGAGTGTGGAGATTCTGTTTGGGGGCCTCTGACTTTCTTTCATATTTTCAGTGTATCTTTCTCTCATGGAAGAACTAAACTTTAAAAAATAAAAAAGAATAAGTCCTTTCTTGCTTGATGGCGGGGGTGGAGGACATAGGTAATACTACTTTCACTAAGTCACTTGTCTGAACAAGGCTAAGAACACTGTTGCCCACTCGTTGGCTGGTTCTGACTCCCAGGAGCCAATAGGGTGCTTCATTGAAAAAAATAGCTGTCCTTGAGGTTTCTTTGAGGAATTAATTATCAAGACAGATGTCTAGGTCACCCCAGTATCCAAGTTTGTGATCGACAGCCTTTAGTATATAGGGAAACTGAGCAGAGATTCCCCTAAAAAGAGATGGGCCCTCAGTTTCCCTTTCTGTTGAAGAAAAATAATTGGAAATTCTCCCAAATTGAAAATTAATAAGAGCTAAACTGAAGTGACAATACAGTCCCTTTCACTCTCTGATGGCGTTTTACAACAGAATAACACATGAGAAGTCAGCCGTCTCACCCTTCTATCTAGGACCAAAATACCTTGTAATTGCAGGAAATTATTCATCCACAGTCAGTAAAAACCTGGTCAAGACCTAGCAATTCTACACCTAATGAGGCAATTCATTATCTAATAACACCATAGTAATGATATTTGTGTTAACAATTATTGTGATATCCAACTCAGTAGACACTTAACATTTATGTTGTTTATTTAATACCCTTCTTCTGAAATATATTTTTGCACATTGAACCATAATTTGCCTCCATCTGACTTCATCCTTTGATCTCATCTGCTCAGAGCAGCACCGAAAGTGTGGCTTCCTTGAAAACTCTTCGTATATTCAAAAATCATCCTCAAGCTCTTCAAGCCAGTCTGGGGCAGGGAAAGAAAGCACCGAGGGGAACTGATTTACAGACAAGCAGTAAGCTGGTAGGGATTAAACAAAAAAGTATGGGACCAGATGGAATAATGGTTACGTTGCTGGACCCCTACATAGCCAATTGTGATTTGAGTCCCAGACCTGATGACTTAAACTCACACTGGGTGCATGCGCGTGTGTGTCCAAGATCCCGAGGAGCATGGAGGAGAAAAGATTGCAGCCTGGTGATTCCTCACTTTCTGTTTCCCTGTCTCTCTAGCAAGCACATGTGCCCTATAGCAACAATCTCTCTAAAAGAAAAAAAAAATCAAAACAAAACAACTATATATGTAGAAGTTCTTTTTTTTGAGATTTTTTTTTTTTTTTTCTTTTAGAGAGATTGTTGCTATAGGGCACATGCGCTCGCCAGACAGACAGAGAGAGACAGAGAGACAGAAAGCGAGAAATCACCCCCCAGGGAGGGCCGCCAGCCTGCAATCCCTTCTCTTCCATTCTCCTCTTGGGATCTTGGGCACGCACGCACACGCGCCCGGTGTGAGTTTAAGCCACCAGGTCCGGGACGCGAACCACAGTCGACTATGTGGTAGTCCAGAGACATAGCCATTAGGCTAACTGCTGGTTCCAAAGTTCATTTCTTGAAGTAACTGAGCTATAACAGAATCAACAAAATAGTATATTGTGCTTGGTCTTAAACTCCATCTTAATAGATTGAATCTTGGGAAAATCAGTTCTTTAACTTGACGAGTCTTACAGAACCTAAACTTTTACCTCCTTCATAATAGATGGAGCCTAATGCTGAACTAATGAAGGTTAACAATAACCTTGCTGAGTTTTTATAGACATCCAGCAATGGAGATGGGGAGGAGAAAGACTCCACCAACCTCCTCCAGTATGACCTGCTGAGAAGACTTTATCAGAGTAAGTGTTACTACGTCACACCTAGACCTTCTTCGCTTCTAAATCATGATCTAAGAATTGTCTTAACTGACTCCATTTTGCTTCTGCTGCCTTTGGATCACTGCTTATCTTTAAGCCCCTTGCATCTTGCAGAGAAGTGAAACTTCATTCTGCCCTACATGCCAGGAAAGGGAACTGCCCCTCACACAGTGATAGCCCTCTGATAGTACCAGGTCTCCTTGTGATCCTGCCCAAAGACAATGACCAGGTCTCCTCATCATGCTGTCCCAAGACAATGATTAACATGCCCTTTATTTCTAGAGGTACCTCACATTGACCTCTGCCCCTATGTAAGTTTTGTATCTTGTCTAGTACAGGGGAGATGGTTAGGAACTCCTACAAAGAGCTTCCTAGGAAGCCACACTTTATGTGCTGCTCTGAGCAGATGAGATCAAAGGATGAAGTCAGATGGAGGCGAATTATGGTTCAACGTGCAAAAATATGTTTCCGAGCAAGTGTATTAAATAAATGGCATTAACGTTAAGAGTGTACTGAGTTGGGAACCAGCAGTTAGTGTAATGGCTATGTCGCTGGACTCCCACGTAGTCGACCGCGGTTCATGTCCCGTACCTGGTGGCTTAAAACTCACGCTGGGCATGTGTGCGTGCGTGCCCAAGATCCTGAGAGGAGAATGGAGGAGAACGGATTGCGGTGTGACCATCCCCCCTGGGGGGTGATTTCTCGCTTTCTGTCTCTATGTCTCTGTCTGTCTCTCTGGCGAGCACACGTGCCCTATAGTGAAAACCTTTCCAAACAAAGAGTGTACTGAGTTGTATATTACAATAATTGTTAAAACAAACAAGTCTGCTCTCTTCCTGGTGTTGACCTCCCTGTATTAAGTTTCTTCTCTTACGACCAACTGTCGTCTCTTTCTCAAACGATGAGTGGCATGGGTCTGAATAGTGGTTCTCAGAATGAGCAGTCCTGCTCGTTAGAGCTTCTGATGTTTAAATAAGAAAAAAAAAGTGTAATAACTAAAATGATTACCTGGGAGATTAGTTATAAAAATTAGACTGTATGTATACCATATAATATGATGCAAATGCTAAAAATAAGGAAGCAGTGATACATTTTGACTAGAAAAGGTATTTCTGATTAATAGAAAAAAAAGGCTGCTTATATGAAAAACATACAGTTCTATTTTGAAAAATTTTAAGTACATATACATGCCCATTTTATACAAATGCATAAGCGCTAATGCATAGCTAACTTCTGGTTAATATTGGCTTATTTGGATTGTAGGGTCTGAAGAGTTTCGTATATTTTTCTTTTTTGTATTCTTCAAAAGGAACTCTTTATCACTTTCCCACAAAGCAATATAGCTATTTTTAAAATAAAGCAAGAACAAATGACTGCTTAGTGCATCGTTGGTATTCAGCACACAGTTGCTGAACTGAAACTTGAAGGTAAAAATGAAATAATATCTAAGTCCTTTAAGATTAGAATAAAAGATAGAGGTTGTGGAGTGTGTGAGAGAGAGATCAGAAAACAAAAGAAAAATCTTTTCAGGGTGGTCTAAAAAGAGCAATGGAAACAAATTTTTAAAAAATGTCAAAATTGAATTTAAAAGTAAGATTCCCAGTAAGAGACACCCTGGACAGTGGGATTGAACCGCAAGGGAATTGACAGGAATCTGTTGCTTGAGTCATGTTGGGGGGTGGGGGGGAGGGGGACACCTGAACTAAAACTCTCCTTTGCTTGTCTTTTCCAGTTTCTGAAATTCGACCTTGTAGGGATCCATCTCAATTTTTTCCTTTCATCCTAAGGAAATTGAAAAGGATCAAAATTATATGTCATATTTCTTTTGAGTGGCACAGATGAAAGGCACTCAGTGACTTCTCTGTCCGCGCACAAGCGTTCCTCTCAGGGGAACGTGTTCTCTGTGAGATCCCTGCCGACCTTTGCAGCCGGTAGGGGCCCAGGCTCAGGTGCATCATGGAAAATGAAGGCTGCACGTGGGCCGCATTCAAACAGTGTGCTGTGGCCTCCTGCCCGTGTGGAGGTTTGGAGAAGGTCAGAACACATCTGGTTCTAGTCTATCCTCACAGTTTGAGCAGGAAAAAACAGGTTCTGAGGATGCCGGTTTTCAACCAGTGAGAAGGGAGCCATGAGGCTGACTTTTACAAGGAAATTAAGTTCAGAGTATTTTAGTATTTTTTTCCCTTTCTATGAATGTGAACTGATCTTTGACATTCATCATTTCAAGCTGCAAACATAAAACCTCAAATTGGTAGAGGGTGCTTGACCCGTCATCAGTCTCGCAGGGGCACGCTATGAAATGGCAGTACGGTACCGCTGGCCCTCCATATCTGGGGGCTCCGTGTCCTCAGATTCAACCAACCTGAGACTGAGCCTGCAGTGTAAGACTCAGGTTTTGACTCTGTGGGCATCACAGATCCAATACTCCTTGCGCACTGACGGGTATTTGCTCTTATTAGGAAATATGTAGCCTCTTAACTTTAGGTTCAAAAGTTTGCCCAGACCCCAAGTCCTGAATAACAAGCAAGCCAAAAAACAAACAAAAAAAACTAGCTGACATTGCTGTCTCTGAAGCTGCAATCTCATCTTACACTTGTAATTTCTTCTTGTCCCTTTTCATCTATCTCGGATTTATATCCAACGTCCCATTTGACTGTCTTCACTCTACCCTCAACTATGTTCTGATTTTCACACTAATCATCCCATCAAACTCAATTTCTCCACCCAGGGGGGCTGATGCTTAAATTCTATGTCTTTGACATCAGAGAAAGGATTGACCTTGACATCCATCTGCTTCTTTTTCATCTTTTTAAAAGTTTCTTTCTTTTTTTTTTAATGAGAGTGAGAGACTGACTAGCATTCCCAACAGGGTCTCACACTGTGGCCCACCTCCACGCCTTTTCAGTTAGCCAGGATCATGGAGGTATGCGTCCAGAGTGTGTATGGACCAGCTGGGAAACCGATGACCTTGCATATAGATCCAGCCTAGCTTTAATAGCACGTTATGGCTGTGCCACCGAGCTAGCTTCCAATATGCTTCTTTTTCATTTGTTTTCGTTTTTGCTATAGAGCACACACACTCACCAGAGAGAGACAGAGAGAGAGAGAGAGGGAAAGGGAAAATCATCCACCAGGGGGTTGGCCACACCGCAATCCCTTCTCCTCTACTCTCTCAGAATTTTCAGCATGCTCATACACGTGCCCAGCATATGTTCCAAGCCACCAGATCTAAGACCCGAAGCCCTCCCTTGGTCATGTAGGATCCAGCCGCCTTAACCACCATGCCAGCTGGCTGCTCCTACTTCGTAAAGCTCTTCTATCTATTTCCACAACATTGTACCACCCTGTCTCTCCTCTTACTGCTTTTCTTGTCCCTTTGCTCTGCTTTCATTGTACAATTTTCTCTTTCACCAAACGTCTTTATTATCCCTCTTCTTTTCATTCTCTTTCCAATTCCTTCAGAAAATGAGCCCTTGTACTATTTTCATGTAATTGGCTACTGTCCCACTCACGCCACCTACCAAATACATTTAGTTGGGTCTCCCACATCATTGCAAACACGCCTAAATTAGACTGGTTTTCCTCACGTAAACATAGATGCTGCCCATAATACAGCCTCAGTGGTCTTGTTTCGGCTATCATATTCTCAATCCTGAAGGGCAGAAGTTTGCAATCATACTTTATTCTTCTAACTCTTTCTTATATGTCTATATTTCTACCAAAGTCTTCCTCTTCCTTTAAAATGATCATTCCAGCTTGTCACCCTATCCATTCCATCTCCGGATTTACACAAGTCCTTATTGATGCAGTTGTGTTTACTTCAAAAGATTGTCCTTTCTGCACACAATTGAACTGATATAGTATTGTCACTCCAATTTTCTTGAAATGTTGCATGTGTTGGAATATTTTATTTCTCAAGAACATATAATGATTTACTACTGGTAAGTGAAAAATCCTAAATTTTCAGTTTAGCTTTCTAGTCCTGTAGAATCCAACCCTGTCCAGTTGCTACCATGTTTATAACTCATTGCCCCATCACAGAAATGAAGTCAGACTATATATGATGTGTATTTTGTTCTAGTCTTAATTAGTTTCTCATACCCCCTTTTGCCTCTTAGACTCTAAACCTTGTACTTAAGCAAGTTTCATAGTAGGGTAAGACCAAATTCAACTGAAGAGCATTTTTCTCATGATTTTTTCAGGGCTTTAAGTGGCTTTAAACTCAATAACCAGTGAGAAGAAATTTTACTTATGAACTGTAGAAAAGAATTCTAAATGGTGAATAAAGTGCTTTCATCTTACTCTTTGCCTGAAGCATTCGTGTATAAATCATTGCAGAAATTTCATATGAATAAAGCATTTTCTTTCTCACATCAGAATTCACGTTGACTTTAAAATGAAACTAACAGCAATAAATGTGAGTTGTTGTAGGAAAAAAATCCAATTCAAAAGGGCTTTAATAATAATGTCTTTACTCATTTATATTCTCAGTAGGGAATGAGTATCATAAACACTTTTCTGTTTTTATCCTGAAACTATGCTTTGTTGCTAGGTCAACCTCAAGGGGACTTCATACACATAAGTACCAAGGAACTTTCTGTTTAGAAACTTGACATAATGCCAAAAATCATCCTGCTTAAGCTTTTATAAGACTCCTAAATTATGGAAATAAGAGAAAAATTGATTTTTTTTTGCTTTTGAAAGTCAGGATTATAAAAATATGATAAATATTTTAATGTTAGATATTTTAAGGGGAATTTACAAGCTGGTGATAGTTTTGATTTTGCATTAATTAAAGTTTAAAAATTCCTGTTAATGATGAAAGATTCTTTTTAGAAGATAATAATTACTTATTAAAAATATTCTTGATTCACAAATTAATTTGAGATGGGAAGTAAGGATGTTTTGCTAAGTGAGGAACCCCAACCGGGGAACTATTTTATAATTTTTTTCTGACTAAATTGGCTCATAGAATATTGATAGCTAGCATATCCATTTCCCCACATCCCTGGGAGTTTCTGAAATAAGGATGGCTATTTCTACCTTTCATCCTAGTACAAGATGAAATAATAGGAAATAATATGCAAAATAAATTGAGCATTGTATTGACAGAAATCTCATATGACATTGTTCACCATACTCCATAATCACTCTTCCTTTTCCTCATTTGTTCATTTATGGAATACATCATACTGACAGAAGAGCATATAAAATACATATGTACTATTAAAATAGTAAACAAGAAAATAAGCATTTGTGAATTTGCAGTCAGATTAAGACACCGGTCATCTTCAGAGCCTTAGATGGGACACCCCCGGTGTCTTTCCCCTTCATTGTTCTCTTCCAGGGCTGAGATGTGAAACCCCAGGATGCAGTTGCTTCCTCAGGATCCTCTGCGTGGGATTACTTTTGGACACAGGCTGATAAAACTTTATTGGCATTCTCAACTAACCTCTATCTCTCCCTTTTCCTGTGCTGGCCTAATCTTCACGTGCTCAGACTACGGTGTCCCATGGTTTCCCTTCTAGAAATCCATCCCCACCTGTTTTGAGCCTGGGTCAGCCATGATTCCAGCAACGAATATCATGCTCAAATTTTAAAGAGTTTATGAGATTTTTTAAAAAAATATCTCAGTAGAATTTAGGAAAGTAATAAAGAATAGCATATTAACCCTAGACTAGCAACAGAAAAGAACCCTTATCATCCTGGTTGGAAGGAACTAGAACATGGAGTGTTTCTGAGCCCAGAACCAAGGAGCATGGTACAGCCTGAAATTACTTATAGCCTTTTACAAGAGATTCAGCCACCACAGCAGGAAAGTACCCATGCACACATACTTCAAACTTGATCTACTCAAACTTCCTTCTCATCGCCTGATGCCCACTCCTGATTCCAAAAGAACCCAAATGAAGGACAAGGGAACTCTTGTGGAGCCATGAATCAGTCTCCTGGGCCATTAAAGAGGGAGAGGTGAGTGAAGGCTAAATCTGAAGTAGTAAATAGAAGTAAATCCTAAGATATCAGTAACTGAAAAATGAAGGAAACCATTCCTAGTCCTAGAGTCTTTCAAAAGAAGAGGGATTTTCTGATCTTTCCCTCCTATTTTTCTGTGCTGTTCATCTTAAAATTTGATTCCCAGGATGGCCAAAAAGTGCCAGAGTGATAAAAATGAGACCTTCTGCAAAGTTGACCCACAGGGGAAGGTTCTGAGTTTGCACTCAGAGACTTGAGTGCTCATGATCTGGGGCTGACTGAGGCAAGAGGTTGGAGGTTGACATAGTCCAGACCTTGTTGGAGTGCTGTCTCTCTCTTTCCAATGAAAGAAAGAAAAATAAAATAATAATACATTTTATTACCATTTCTCCTGGAATCCTCCCAAGACTTTTCATTGTCCTCCAACCTGATCCTCTGAACATGAAACCACTTCATGACATCTTTTGCTTCCATGTCTGCCAAATTCATTCATCTTTGAAGGCTCAATTCAAATAATATTCTCTTTTGGAAAACTTCCCTATCTAAATATTCCCAGAAATCTTTTCTCCTTTCAACTTTTTTTATACATTTAATTCATATCTGTCTCCTCCAAATGTTTTGATCATAGGGCCCTATGAAGAAAGGGGAAAAAATGAGCAAACTTCTCTATATACTTATTCATAAATTATATAGATGTGCAGCACTCATATTTATATTATAAAAGGACACTTAAGTAGACATTCAACTAATAAATCAATATTCTAATTACTCTCACGGCAATGAACACGGGAATAAAAGTCCATTCTTTTTTTCCATTTACCTCAGTTAGTTTACCCCATGTAGGAGATTCTGGGGCTCCCTTTCATCTCTGGTGTTTAATTTCAGTTCTTTTGTGATCATGATATTTTAAGCTCCCTTCACAATACAAAGTTCTATGACTATATAATCAACTCTTATTTTAAATGAAATAGAAGTATCAGTACAATGTTAGAGTGGTAAGTGAGTGAGTGTGTGTGTGTGTGTGTGTGTGTGCGCATGCTTTAAACTTTTTGTATTGGTTTCTGGGGGACAACGTATGTGCTTATACATTCACTTAGACTTGTATACTGGGTTCATGGAAAATATACTTATTATTGCAGGTGTAGTTTTAAAAAATAGAGAAATACTACATCAGTTAGTGTCCCTCATCATTCAACATTCAAAGTTTCAAAGGAACAACAGAAAAGGTGTTGCTTCTGCCTCTACAGACCCAGCTCACAGTGAAGACCAAGCATCTGTTCTCACCTTCAGTAAGGATCCTAAGCCTCCTAAAATGTGAGATTCCATTTTTCCTCAAATCAAAATGAATATTACCTTACTTCTGCTTAGACTAGAGGCACACCCGCTGGGAGTAAGCTGATATGCAAGATAAGTCCCTGAGCTGCCTGTCATCTCATGCATTGACCACCTGATAGCTACCTGTCATCTTCCCAAAAGAAGATGGGGTTGAGGAGGGAGTGGAAAGAGACACCTAGACACCTGGCATTAATTTCTTCTTAAGGTTTTTGTCATAAGGCATGTGCACTTGCCAAGGAGAGTCAGCAAGAGAGAAAGTGAGAAATCATCCCTCAGGTGGTATGGCCACACCACAATCCCTTCTCCTCCATCCTCCTCTCAGGATTTGGGGTACTCATACACATCTGCATGGTGTGAGTTTAAAGCTGCCAGGTCTGGGACTTAAACCACAGTCGACCACATGGGAATCTAGTGTCTTAACCGCTATGCTACTCATTGACCTCCACACCCAGTATCTTTTCGAAGTACATTGTCTTTTATAAACGGGAATCGGACTTCTTTTCTGAAAACATGTGCCCGGCGTGAGTTTTAAGCCACCGGGTCCGGGACACGAACCGCGGTCGACTATGTGGGAGTCCAGCGACATAGCCATTACGCTAACTGCTGGTTCCCGAAGTACATTGTCTTTTATAAACGGGAATCGTACTTCTTTTCTGAAATCTTTATCTTGCACTTACTCTAGCATAAACATATTCTCATATACTAATTACACTTTGGGAATATGATGTTAATCATTGTATAATAAATATTACACCACAAAAAAGTCTATAAAAAGTTTCCTGTAGTTAGA